AATTTAGTAGCTAAAAAGTTAACTAATTCACCGAAATATCCTGATAAATTAATGAAGTTTATACAATTTTATGAATAGCTAATAAATAATGTCCTGAAACTATGTGATGATGCAATACAGTTAAACATGAATAAGGATTAATTTAGCTATGCATTTACCTACAAGTATATACATGAAAATTTACCAACTTTTACGATGAATGAATTCAATTACCTGCTCTAAAATTAGCGATAGATATTTATTCGCCCTATAGCGAAATATTTAATTCATTTCACCCACCTGTTCAGATGTCTAATTCAACGTGAATAGACGGGAATAGTTTGGTAATGTTCGCATTAAACATTATACAAAATAAACGCCGTCCTTTCAAATGCTAATTGCAATTCTCGTGCATTCAACAGTTATATGTGTAATGTATACAATGCACTACATATACCAGTTCATTCGATGTTTGTTCAATTAATTTTATTCAGTTTGTACATACGTATAGTTATGTATAAGCTTACATTATAAACACCACGGAATTTATCGCATAAAGCGCGTATTTTATTTCCGGACACGATTTACCTCGACTATATACTATACGCAAACCGCCCCCGCGCCCGGAGCAAGGACCAACTGAACCATAAATGATGATGGAAAAAAAAGGATAATAGGAATACCGGTCAATGCCGATAAGAATATTGAGTGCGAGAGAGATAGCCTATCTGATTATTGTAACCAGAGGAAGAGAGGAGGGGTGTTCAAAAATCAAAAAGTGTTTTTGAATTGTTTTGGAATCGTTTGGAATGGTTTAAAACACTTTAGAACTGGGCAGAATCGTTTCAGAATTGATTAGGATCATTTGAACAAAATTGGTATGATATTAGAACCTTTTAGAATTGTGCCGAAACGTTTGGAACCGTTTTAGAATTGATTGGGATCGTTCGAAACAGTTCAGAACGGTCTTGGAACCATTTAGAATCGTGTAGAATCATTTTAGACCACAGGCAGACGCTTGAAAAAATTCGGTACTAATTTCGAACCACTTATAATTGTCCAGAATCGTTTGAAACCGTTTTAAAATGGACCAGGAGCGTTTGAAACAGTTCAGAACGACCTTAGAACCTTTTAGAATTGTCCAGACTCATTTTGAGACCATCTTAGAATTGTCTAGAACCGTTTGAAACAGTATTTAGAATAAATTAGCGCTATTTGAAACAGTTTAGAACGATCTTAGAACCCTTTGGAGGCGTTTAAAATCATTTAGAACCGATTCGGAACTATTTAGAACGGTCCAGGATTAACTAGAATAGTTTAGAACCAGTTAAAACGCTTTCATTTAGGTTTTTTTACAATTTTTAGTTCATTTAATACAAGAATTAATTTAGTAAAATTTCAGTAAAAATTTTAAACGTAAAAATCGCAGAAGGCCGGCCTGGTACACAGGTATACGAAGGGCCTTGTTAAAAATAACCCCGCTATAAATAGCCCCGTTATAAAAGGCCTTATTTTAAACAGTCAATAAAAAAATAGCATTATAGTATTAAAACAAATTCATTCATAAATTTTCTTTCGAAATTTTAGATTGACAGATTGTATCTACACGAGCGCATCAGATATCTACATATAGATAATATTATAATCATTCCGTGTAAATAGCTCCGTTTAAAAAAAATACGCACACATTACGGGCGTGCACAGAGTAATAAACGAGAGATACGATGATTGATCGTTAAATTATCGACTATTTTTACCGGTGGGGAAAATCGAAAAAAAAAATCCCATCGAGTTCTATACAGGTCGTCGCATTCGACGCGACTTTCCTGCGTAGATAAATCAATTAGGTTTCGAAATACACGAAAAATAAACGAAGGGCCCTTTGCCCTATCGAAGGGCGCGCATTATAAGCGCTGGAAATTATGGAAAAGCTTTTTGAGTGGTGGTTTTTCGCGCGACAAACTAATTAAAACGGATAATTGTGCCTAAAAAATGAGCCCGTGAAATTATTGAGGACAGATACTGGAGTAATCGGAATGAAGGATGAACCAAAAAATTCCACAACGATTTCATGGCTATTCAGAACTTTATTTTAGAATTGCTCAGTTCAGAAATTATTTGGAACTGTTTTAGAACCATTTAAAATCCATTCACAACTATTTAGAACTGTCCGTAATCGTTCGGAACTATTTAGAACGATATAGTAATTAGAACTATTTAGAACGGTATAATTTCGAAACACCCATTCGGGAAAAATTCTACATTCTAATTTCGTCCGCCATTTACATAGATGTTTAATTCGAAGGTGCTCGAACTCTCCTTAAGTTTTTTTTAATTACATCCGCGCTCGCTTTATATTATCGACGATTACGCCATTCATCCGAAAGGTAAACACATACGCTCGGCTTCTGGGGATTTATTCTTTTGAGTAAGAGCCCCGGGGCTCCTAAATCATTGTCTATTTATCGTAAATGCTGTATAAACTACAATAAACTATACGCGTACGGGCCCGATTTACGGCCGTATTTTAGAGGTTCGCGTGAATTGCGGTTTATGTTTATAGTTGTAGTTACGTTTTCGGGGACTCCCCGTATCGCCTATTTTTTTTGATAAACTTCGATAGAGAATTTTATGTAGATATACGAGGGCGATCGAGGAGGCAAGAAAAAAGTTGTAAAGAAACAAAATTCTGGATGCTCCTGAAAGAGTTCTAAATGAGTTTGGAACATTTCCAAAGGGTTTCAAGATCGTTCTGAATTGTTTGAACGAACCTAATCGATTCTAAAGTTATTCTAAATAATTCTAGACTGTTGTAAATGATTTTCACAGTTCTAAATGGTTCCAAGATCGTTCTGAACTGTTTCAAACAATCCTAGTCACTTCTAAAATGATTCTAAATAATTGTAGACTGTTGTAAATGTTTTGTACAGTTCTAAATGGTTCCAAAATCGTTCTGTTGTAAATGATTTTCACAGTTCTAAATGGTTCCAAGATCGTTCTGAACTGTTTCAAACAATCCTAGTCACTTCTAAAATGATTCTAAATAATTGTAGACTGTTGTAAATGTTTTGTACAGTTCTAATATGGTTCCAAGATCGTTCTGAATTGTTTCAAACAATCCTAATCAATTCTAAAATGATTCTAAATAATTCTAGATAGTTCTAAATAATTGTGGACTGTTCTAAATGGGTTTGAACAGTTCTAAATTGGAAAACACTTAAAAAACACTCGCATACTTGATTATTTTTAATACTATCTCTCTCCCACTATTACATTGAACACAATGATAGGTATATTACTCTTTTTCTCTAATCTGTATAAATCATATCCATCAATATTTTGATATGGCCTTTGATATACCTCTGCCCACTCGAATACATCGCGATAAAAAATTATAATAAATAAGGGGGACCCTCTGTAATAATACAATTGGCTTGTTGCGTAAAAACCCTCGCAAATCTCTCGAGTGTTTTCCATTAAAATCGACGTTTTCCGCGGAAAATACTCAACAGTCGGCTTACCGAGGTTTATTTTATTTTCGTTTCGCCTCCATTTTTGTGTATATCCACGGTTTTTACGAAATTCGATGAAAAAAAAATCGCCGACTCGACCGATTTTCTGAATTAAATCGAATTAAATTAAAATATCATTATTGACATTTTGATTTGACAGTTTTACATTGTTGTTATGGAGTAACTAAGGACATTCTCTCAATTGACAGTTTTACATTGGTTGTTATGGAGTAACTAGGGACATTATTTGAATTGACAATTTTGACAGTTTGACACTGTTTACATTAAGTCTAAACGATTGATTAGTGCCATAAAACTGAGCACCGGGCCAATAAAATTATACCAATATAATTTTAATTAACGGACGATATTGTAGCGAATCCGCTTAAGCGTTTTGACGGGAGACATTCGCGAAGGAGTCCATGAAAAACGATAGCGCGCACGCTAGATCTCAATTCTCATTAAAGTTAAAGGACGAGGCTCATCGAGTTGGCGACTACTTATAGTGGACGAAAGGGCTTTTATCTGTCGAGCATGCTGTAATCATTTACAGTACGCAGTGTTGCACATGAATCCGGACTTATGCCGGTACGAGAGGACATATCGGATGATACAGGGTGGACTATAATTACAGATATTTTTTTCCAATTTTTTTTATATATTTTGATTTTTTTTTGAAGGTACTCGAGTTGGTACCAGTGCTAGAAATACCGAGTTCTACAGAGTGGACTAGCTTAAAAAAGTACTAAATATGTGATCACCCTGTATGTCATGCTTTGTCTAATCCCACTTCTGATACATTAGCGCTTTTTTCCGCGCGTTTTTACATTAACTCTCGTTAATTTTCCCCGGCGAAAAAATTTTCAATTACCTTTAACCGAAATCCCCCGTGACACGAACGCAATAAACTAGTCCATTTTGCCACTGGTAAATAAGCTAATGAACGTTGTAAGGTATACCAGGATTTACCTGCAGCAAAGCCGCCAATGAAAATCCCGGAAAGACCGTCTAAATTAAGACGAATAGTTAAAGAAAACTGTTCATTAACCATCCGCGTTATTAAATTCCCGGGAATTCGAGTAGGCGGCGGTTTTCTGCGACAACTTCGCGCCGGATTCGACGGGAAATCGGGAAAACTATTCGCCACGGATTTTCTCCATCGCTCGGGGCCATTTTCCCGAATAACTATTTTGAAGTTTATCAATTTTATTGTAAGATTTTCTTGTGCTGAAGGGACATAAAATCAAACTAAAAAAAATAACAAAATTCCAAGCATAGCGTTGATTTTTTTGCCTTAATTATCCCTTCCTTGACTTTCCTGGAAGGGTACTGCAAGGATCTGGACGAAAGGCCTCTGGACAACAAGCTGGAATGTTATTAAAAGGATCTACGAGTAGATAAAACGTCTCAGGACAAGAAGCTGGAAGAGTACTAAAAGGATCTACGAGTAGATAAAAGGTCTCAGAACAACAAGTTCTTGTAACCACTACAAAAAAAAAACACCCAACATAAACTCATCTCTTATAATAAACCAGCTCGTTTTCCCCTTGATCAATCACAATCCTCCCGCTTATCTCCTCGAACACCGGCGAATAATGCCCCAAATAGTCCACCAAAATATCGACATCGATGGGCCCCACTCGCTTGTTCCTCAACTGATCCTTGAACATGACGTAATTATCACCACCCTGGCTCAGAAAAGACGGCATCACCACGTTATACGATTTGTTCTGATCCAAATCCTCGTACGCCGGTGTGGTGCAATCGGCACAGCGCACTTTGATCGACACCACCCGCTCGCCCAGCGGTTTACTTAAATCGTATGCCAGTTGCACCCCTAAGGAATAATGGATGTTCGATAATGAAGAGTATATGGAGTAGTATAAAAGTGGCGACGAAATTGGAGAGGTGATTCAATTTAACAAAAATTTAGAGACCTTGCTGTACTGAGTATTCTTCTTCTGCTTCTTGTTTTGTAATAAATTGGCCTCAGCTGCCGGGGATATTCGACCAACTAGCTGAGAGAGTCTCTTTCACTCGAGATTTGTACATGGCAAGCATTGCTTAATTTGAGAACTTTGGCAGTGTTTTGAGCGATAAAATGCACCTCTCCGATTTCGTTGCAGCTTCAGATCGTTACCAGAGACTTGGAGTAAGTTGATGCTGCTGTAGAGCCTGCCGTAAGCGTGCTCCTTGGCCGTTTCCTCGAAGGCTTCCTTCAGGTATTTGCCTTGGATTTGGCCGAAGTCGATGGTGTTTCCGAACGGTTGGGCGGTCAAGAGGTCGCTGTAACTAATATCTATGGGGAAAAATTATTTTGGGACACTCTGTATAAGATGGTACAGTCTGTATTATAATTTACTGACTTCCTTTTTCGATGGGGGATCGGAGACCTCCGGCGTTTATTAGACCAATTGCTGCTTCGGTCCAGGAACCGTTTGGTGGGGATTTTGTGTACTAAAAAGTTATTAAATTTATTCATTAAATAGTTTGAGATAAATTTATCTAATTTTATTTGTTAGGTATTAAATTAAGCTAGCGATGACGTCACGTTGGTGTATTCGTGAGCGAGCTGTATGTAAAAAATGCGATTTTATGGTTAGAGGAACATTTCAGTGATTAGATTTAGGGCTTTTTGAGCTTTTTTGAGCTTTTTTTTAGCTTTTTGAATAGGGAAATGGAGGAGCTGAAGATGCTTTTGCCTAATTGATAATAACTCGATACGAACTCGGATAATTAGGGGGACTTAAGGAGGTTTGTAGACGCTTTTTCCCGGAAAATCGGGAAAATAGGTACAGCGTTTTGAATGCGTTTCCAGATTAAAACTTCTTGATTAAAATGGAAGAGGAAATTTTCATAACTGTTCTATTCACGGAACTTGTTCGGAATACTAGATATCTCGGTGAATGCTCAGGATTTCTTTATTTATTTACGAGTATTTTTTAATTTTGTCCCTCGTAGAAATTACCGTTTAAATTACTTCAACTCAGAAGGGCCCATTGTTGCGCAAAAGTTTCTATGAGAAAATTACACCTGGATAGAAAACGAATCCAGATAAGGGTTAATAGTAAGCGCAAAATATAATATGTCTTAGAAGTTTCTGGATTAGAGGGGTTTTAGATCAAATTTACTCACAGCAAATACATAGGCATCGGCTATCAAATTACCCAAAGTGCATTCGCTGGTATAGCAAGTACTGTCATCCAGAGAAACCAAACTGGATCCGATAACTTTGTCACCTTCCGCATGGATAATTTTCTTCCACGGTTCCAAAGCCTTGTTTATGGACTGGTCTGAAACAGTTCAAGAACTCACCAAGAGGTTCAATCCCTAGAGTATCCACTCCTGAAGGATTAAACCCCGGAGAATCAACCATCGGAGCATTAACTCCTGGAGGATCAACCTCAACCTCTGTAGCATCAACTCCTAGAAGGTCAACTCTTGGAGCCTCCCCGGGTACTTGCCTTGCGGTACATCGTGTGCCAAAAATATGGGAGCCCCAGAATAATCCACGATTTCTCCACCATCATCCAAGTAGATGGTGATGTTTCCAAGATACTTGCTGTAAGCCGAAGCCTGCGTAACCAGCACGTCGTGGCCGAATTTACTTTGCACTATCGTCGGGTAGGGCCCTCCGACTTTATCCGGACCCGGAGGATTATCTGAAATTTAAGGATTCTCCATGTAAATGTTACTAGATTGGAAGTTGTCGAGTTCCCTACCGCCTGTATACAGAAAAGTGTGCGAATGCCCCCCGACTATAAGGCTTATTTTCTCCGAAGCGTTCGCGGCTATTTCCTTATCCACATCGTATCCAGAATGCGACAGCACTATAACGGTGAAAACTCCCTCTTCGCGCACCAATCTCTCCGCCTCCGCGTTCACGCTGGCCGATTCCCCGAAGAACTTCAATCTACCGGTGCTCGCAATCTCCTACAAACCGCAAGAAAAAACCTTATACATCTCCACCAGGAGCCGTCGCTTGGGAGCATTCTCACATCGCAAACCGACGTGATGACGCCCACGACGCCTATCCTCCTGCCGTCCCTCTCGACGACGGTGCTCTTGGCGTAAATCCCCTGGAAGGAGGGCTCCTGGCTGTCGTCGATGTTGGACACGACCACCGGGTGCTTCAGGGCCTTGATGTAGGGCACCAAGCCGGCGATGCCGTCGTCGAACTCGTGGTTTCCGATGACCTGGAGAATGAGGTTGGCTGTGTACTAGCTGAGGAAGAGGCCGCGGTTTTGAGGTCGCTGGTCTTAGGAGGCGGTGATGGTGATTTATGGGAGGTGTTTTAAGGGGGAAGTAGAGGACTGTGCTATACAGATTGCTCCATTCTTAATCGCAACGTAAGTTATATAGGCCTTGGGTGCGATAAAGACAACTTCCATTAGACACTTATAAAGGAAAAGGAAAGAGTGACATTTATGTCATTGCGACTTTTCACTTTGACAACTGTCATTTTAATAATCTTTCTTTGTTCCACTCATAGAAATGACCGTGTTGCAATCGGAAATGGAGCACAGTGTATATTTATTGTGGATTTATACATAGTTAGTCAGGAATTCGTGATTTTCGATTAGCTGGTAGAGAATTAGGTTTGCTGTGTACTAGTTGAGGAAAGGGCCTTGTTTTGAGGTAGGCGGTGGAATTTGGGAGGTTTAGGGTTTGGGGAATGTTGTGGGCAGTAGAGGAAAGTGCAATGGAGAGTATACAGGGTGAAGTCACATTCAACTGAATGGAGAATTGTACAAATAATAAAAAATGGGGAAGTATCCTCGGGTGACTTACCCTGTATGCAAACTCTACCCGTTTTCATCCACCTTTTTTTTTCGACATTCTCTCTTTTCCAGTTTACTCGGAAACCAAGTAACTTTGTATCACGGTCGTATATTTCTAAGGTCTGGAAACTTCCAATACTTATGCATTAGAGAATGTGTCCCGTTATTTGAGGACTTTTTGAGCTTCATTTTTTCGCCGCACCGTGGCGAACGATCGGAGGACCAACTTATCTCAGCCAATCAGCGTCGCGCTACATATAAATCGCGGTTGTGTGAAATGACAGTTCGAGCTGTCAAAACTTCAAAAATTATTTTTTGACATTTCGACGAGAAAATGGAGAAATACATTAACCGAAGATACGTGAAGCATGATGTTAACAACAAAATCATCGCTGATTTAAGTATACTTTTATATTTTGTATGTATTTTTAGTTTGAATAATACCTTTCTTAATGCTAATTCTATATAATTCGTACGCAAAAAACCGTGGTCCTTTACAACTTCGCCTCCTAGCGGCCGTTTTAGGAACCCTGTTTCATCCTCAAATAACGCGACACTTTTTCGACCTAAGTTTCCAGACCTTAGAAATATACGACCGCGCTTTGTATATGCCTTCTACATATTATCATCTGACGTACTTACTTCCGCATCAATGGGCAATTTGTTCATAAATTCCTGAGTGACGTTCCATTTGCCGATGTTGTACCACAGTGTGCCTTGAAAGCTATCGCCGGCGTTCAACAGGATCGATTTCGGCTTGTCATCGAGGATGGCCGCGATTTGTTCGTAGAGCCTGGAAAATCCTCCGATGCAGGACGATTCCTCGTCCGGTTTGCACGTGTTGGCGTATATGTTGGTTTCCTCGAATCTGGATGGAACAATCTGGAGCTTTTATAAGTTCGGGGAATCGCTCGAAGTGATTAAAAAATCCGCCTGGTGCTTTGTTTTGAGGGAACTTTGCTTTGTTCCTCGTAACAACTAATTGCTGTGGTGTGCAAAAAGGTTTTGTTATTTTCGTTTAACATTTTTGTTTTAATTAAATTAGATTAATTTGCGTAGTTTTTTTTGTTTTCGAAACTTTTTTTTTCGGGTTATAAATCGAGGATGATGTGATGTTGAAGTTGGGAAGTTCTGTAGAGTAAAGAATTAATAATTTCGTTTAAAGGACGTGGATTTTCTTCGGTAAAGGACGATTTCGCGTTGTTACTTTTAGCCGGATAAAAGGAGGGAGACGAAATCGAGAGGGTATTAAAAATTCACGGGGGTTTAAGGGAGGATAAAAGATTCTGTTTTGCTATCAATTATCATTAGGAGAATGTTTGTTAGAGGATATTTGATTGATTTGTTAGATTGAATCGATAGAAAGTAATTGAAATTGCTGTTTAATCTAGCCACAACTAGTGTTATTTTAAAAATGGCAAAATTTTAATAGGATCCATTAGAGAACCTGAATAATATATTTGATGTATTGGTTTTTAAAAATTCAAAAACTACTAGCTATATATTCAAAACTGCTACATAAAAAACGAAATTCACCAAATGCAAATGTGCATTTTAATTTAAACATTCACCGATCGTCGACACTGAATAAAATAACCATTAATTTTCGATATAACCGCTTAATTAATTCGAATATTTTTTTTTATTTTCGTTTAAAAATAACGAAAATGTTACAAACACCACTTCTACATATCTAATAATAAGTACAAAGCAAATACCCGCAAACAAAAAAAATATGAAATACACTCTAATTAACCTAGTAGATTAATATACAAATTAAATTTCAATCTAGCCGGCTAATCGAATTGCCCTATACAGGGTCGGCCTGAGGTAATTTGGACTGTATTGGAATAATACAAAGGTACTTTTTATATGTACCTAAATTAGCGAATTTTTAGAAGAATTTCTCTTCTAAATTTATTTGTAGCTTATCCCAGACTGTTCCAAATAGTTCTGAATCGGTTCTAAAATGGGTTTTAATGAAATTCTGGACAGTTCTAAAATGATTTTGAACCGTTCTAAATGATTAGTTCTGGGCTCTTTTAGTTTGTCCTAGACCGTTTCAAATAGTCCTGAATCTGTAGGTAGGTACTACATGATTTTGAACAGTTCTAGGTGATTTGGAACAGTTCTAAATGCTGTGGAACGGTTCTAAACAATTTGCAACAGTTTTAAATGGTTAGGAACAGTTCTAAATGATTTGGAACTGTTCTGAATGGTTCTGGACAATTCTGAATGACATGGAACAATTTTAAATGATTTTGAACAGCCCTAAAAGATTCTAGAATCGCCTTGAACTGATCCTGAACTCAATTCTAAAAAGGACATAAATGATTCTGAACAGTTCTAAAAGTTACTGAACAGTTCTGAACGATTCTGAACAATTCTAAAGGATTCTGAACACTTCTGAATGATGTGGAACAGTTATAAATTATTCTGAACAGTTCTAAGAAATTCTCTTCTACACTCTTGTTATTCCTATGTGCATTCCATCGAAGGCCAACCCTGCATAGCTGCTATCAAAACGCGCGTCCGTGGCATATTCGATAATGAAAATTTCCGTTACTAACCTGGCGTGAAAATCGTTGAAATGCACGACAGATAGCTCGAAAGCGCCGGCGGGCGTCGGCTTCGTTTGTCGGGGAATCCCCGAAACGCAGATCAGCCCGACGGGGCAGATAACAAGCACAAGCAACTCGATTCGGACCATCTGAATGGATATGGTTTTCTATAAGGCGATTGTCGACGGGCTCGCGGATTTTATACCGTCCGCGGTGATCGAGATAAAGCCGATGGGTATTGTGTATCTGAAAACGGGGCGATAAATAAAGATAAAGAAGGTGCGATAAGCCGATTACTCTGTAGGTTAAAAAATATGGAGATTAAACGCCTATACTTGGATCGATCGGTGCAAAGAATGGAAGATTTTTCGGTTAGATACCAATAATGTAAATAAACAAAAATTTCTCTCTACTTTTATGCAAAAAATTTTCTCTCTACTTTTTTGAACAAAATTTTCTCTCTACTTTTTTGAACAAAATTTTTCTCTCTACTTTTATAAACAAAAATTTCTCTCTACTTTTAGCAAAACAATTTCTTTCTACTTTTGAGTAAAAATTGTCCTTTTATGAACAACATTTTCTCTCTACTTTTAGCAAAAAATTTTCTCTCTACTTTTGAGTAAAAATTGTCCTTTTATGAACAACATTTTCTCTCTACTTTATTTTGCACGAAATTTTCTCTCCACTTTTATGCAAAAAAAATTCTCTCTACTTTTGTGCTATTTGAATATCTATAAAATTTCGCGGAAATCGAACGAAAATTCATCGATTTTCTCGGCACAATTACGAAATGATTATTAAACGTTAGGAAGTCTTTAAATTCCATTTAACTACTTAATTCTTGGACCGATAACTTTTCGTTTACCGTTTAAGCGTGTCCTAATGGAAACTTGACGAGGCGGTAATCGAACGTAATTACCCTTAAAATGGCGGAACAATGCCTGAACGGTGCGCAATCGGGGATCATTTTTAGATCGACATTCCTGGAGAATTTAACGGGACGCAAACTTTTGCGGGAGCGATGAAATTCGTATGTGGATCGCGATCGGTTCGATTAGAGGCGGTTTTCGGTCGATTGGGTCGAATTTTGGAACATTTGATCCTAGTGCAATATTGATCAAGGAGGAATTTTTATACCAGGTCGGCCCGAGATCCAAGATTTTACCAGTGAATTGGAGTATTTTTTAAGTAAATTCTAAAAGGTTCTAAATAATTTTAGACAGTTCTAGTGTCGGTAAACGGTAATTTTTTTTGGATAGTTCAATTTGTTCTGAAACAGTTCTAAATGGTTCCAAAACAGTTCTAGAACTGTCCTAAATTTAAAAAAAAAGTACAAAATCGCTGCGGACCGACGTAATATACCTACTAATATAATGATTTTCAAAATATATTTAGGTAAAAAAGAATTTATCTGATGGATTATATCAAATACCTATCAATTTATGGAATATTTTGCGCACGACTGAGATCTTTATCTACATACCTGAACAATACAAAAATAATGTATTCGTTAATAACTTTATTACTCCACACTTGATTCATAAATACCTATATAGTTCGATAAAAAGTGGCAATTACAAAAATATTCGATCCCCACACCTCCATTGCGATATCTACATGCATTTTAAATTTAAAACATTTTTCGATAATAATTTAAACGAGCAATTTAACGTACAAATAAATATTTATGGTTTTTTGTAAACAACATACAACAATATTTATATGTAGAACATCCTTGTATAGGTTCGAAATTAAAGGATTCACTGAAAGTTAATTCCCTATTAATTTCTAATGTGAATTTTCGAAAGCATTATGTACTTAAAAGTAATTATGCATATATACTGCCCGATTACTTGGACACGCCTTGAAATTGCTAATTGCATAATTCATCAGATGTCTATTTCATAATTAATTAACTTATACCTTATATAATATTGTTGCTAATGGAGTCTATAACTGGAGCATCAAATATTTACTCATTAAACTGTCCTTTATAACGAAAGCTGACCACCCTGTATATATAATAGTGCAATTGTATTGTTAATTCTTAATTCTAAATTCCACTAATTCGCCGAACGATGATGATGATAAAATTTTAATAAAACCGTTTATATTCCGGTGTTCTTGTATTCATCAGAAACTAGCGAACATGTCTTGGTCGAAGCGCATCATCGACATTTACTCGTACATTTTGCATTTTCTCGGATTTTCCGAACGACAAACGAAATTCGACATGTTTTTAATCTACTTTTCCGCGCTCGGCGCCATTCTGAACGATTGCTTCATTTTGTATAATTTGAAATACACCGCTTTCACCATCGAGAATATCACCAATTTCACCGAAACGGCCTTCTGCTTTTTAGAGGTAAAATCATCATCATCATTAAAATCATCGAAAATCATAAATCATTGTCATATAGAAATAAATATTATGAAGGTACCTACGGATCGACGAGTATAGCTGAAGAATCATTCATTATTTTCTCCTCAGTTTATCTTCATCGTCGCAGCTATTTCTATTGAATTTTAATGCAAATTAGGTACTGATTTATTGCAAATAATTGTCTATTTAGGTACGTTATTAATAGAGAAGACAAAGATTTTATACAACATAAAACATGTAGGTACAGATCGACGGTTATAGCTGAAACCTCCTTCGCATTTGCGCGTTAAAACCACTCATTTTCCGCCAATCCCATCGAACTTTACCACGAATGAAGCACCGATTCGTTCCAGATAACATTCTATTCGGCCATAGCGATATTCAAACGAAGCGATTTCACGGCATTACTGGAAATGCAATCGCTCTGCTGGGACCACGCCGCCTTCGACCGGCAATTCTCCCGGCACACCGCGAAAATATTCAAACTCTGCCTGGCCTTCTCCGTCTTCTTCGGCCTCCTGGGCGAGATCACGGCCATTTCGTCCAGCGTGCTGGCCTTCCTCGACCGCGGGGTGCCCTTCTACTGCTACGTTCCCGACGACATTGTCTGGTATTTCATCGTGTTCATCACCCAGGCCTACTGCAGCTCGTACATTTGCGTGTTCGCCGTGTCGATGTTGATCGTGTACGCGACGATCATGTTCGAGATGCACTATCAGTTGAGGATGTTGAACGCGCGGTTCGCGGAAATGGCGACGATGGGGGACTTGCGAAGGTGCGTGGAGCACCACGGGTTCTTGTACGGGTATTTCCAGCGCAGCAGGAGGATGTTTTCGGGGGTTTTGCTGATGTTGTACGTGAGGAGCATCGGGCTCTCCTGCATGGAATTGCTGATAGCGGTCGATAAGTAAGATGGGTGTTTTTTTGGGTGTACAGAGTGGTCGGATAGGAATGTAGAGTAGTGTATCTGGAGGATTGCGGTAAAAAAGTAACGGGCGAGAGAAAAAGCTGGAAAATAAAAATTTAAGGAATTTTTTAGTATAAAAAATTTTTGGTCTAAATTTTAGGTATCGAGATGCGGTTTTCGCGAGCTTGTTTAGGCATCATTTAGCTACTTATTCATAAAAAAATCATACTAATGCATTTATTTTTTTTGAGAAAATTGGCCATTTCTGTCGGAATGTTGGAAAAAGTGCTATAACTAGCGACACGTGAATCTAAACAAAATTTTAAATGATATAACTTTTGTAGTCCAAGAATAGCTCTTTTCAACTATCCGAAGTTTGTTTAAATCGGCTCAGCCGTTTCGAAGATACAGGGTGTTTTTTAGGGAAACATTTGAATAATCCTCGCCACTTTATTTTTAGAGATACAGCAAAATTTTTTAAAACAAAATGTTTCATATTATATTCGACTTTAATGAACTGGTATTTTTTGTTAGGTTAATATAGCGGAATTCATAGAAAAATCGCTTTTTTAGTTTCAAGATTGCAGTTGCACCTCCTGGTGGCCATTTGAGAAACTTGAAAATATTTTCCAGGTTTTTCTCTTGGCTGTTTTAGTAATTACTTTACAGTACTTTTCAGTACTTTACATTCTTATCCGACCACCCTGCACAATTTGTATTGGAATAGCGGGAGATTTTTGAAAATTAAAATTCGCTGCATACAGTATGCAAATTTTCCCAGATTAGCCCATCATTAGGTATTTTTATGCAAATCGCGCGGATTCGATTTGTAATATGCGGGGTAATTTCGTAATAACAAACAAATAGACCCTATAGCGAGGATGAGAATAGATAAAAATCCTAAATTATTTCGAATCACGCTTCGGAAATTATTCATGCAAATTATTTCAGGAATAAACCCGCCGGCTTGCGATTCAAAGCGCTCTGTTTCGTACCGCTGATTTTTCTCGAATTATGCTTGGTTTGCGTGCCGATTAGCATCGTTAAAAACGAAGTAAGTCTAATATCATTACCCTACACTTAACTTACCCTCTATCCTACCCTACCAAACCCTATCCTGCCCTACCCTTCAGGTAACTTGTACCTAACATTAACCTACCTAACCTTTCCCTACCTTACTTCACATTACAATATCTTACCCTTCACAAGGTAAGATGAATTCAGTGAATTCATCACTACCCTATCTTAGCTATTCTGGTAACTTGTTTGGAGTATTAAATGGATTTTTTTAAGAGTGAAAATACGCCGGACGCGATAAGTCGCAGCGACTTGTTGCTTCACGATGATTTGAGGGTACGCAAGAACGCGATATTCCTGCTGAAAAGGTGCCAGAAAGCGTTCACGTTCAAAGCGGGCGATTTGTACGAATTGGATTTTAATACTCCCGTTCAGGTAATGAAGGTATAATGAAAAATAATCGGATAATTTGCACGGGAGGTTTCGCAGATTTTCAAGTCCGGATTGTCGATTTACACTCTAATGAAGAGCTTCGAAAACTGAATGTTGTAATGGTTTTAATCAGCAGGATAATTTTTAATATGCAGTTAAATAACATTTACCTACATGACATTTTCTTAGAAGAGCTTGGTAATATAGAATTTCGCAAAGCAAATATGGTTTTATTTTCGAAGAAATATGCGAGAAATAAGCGATAAAAGTAGGGAGAATGCAATAAAATATGTAGTATAGAAGTAGGGAGAATGTAGCGAGAAATAAACGAGAAAAGTAGCGAGAATGGGGCGCTAAATAAATGGTAAAAGTAGGGAGAATGTTATGGAAAATGTAGGATAAAAGTAGGGAGAATGGGGCGCTAAAAAATGGTAAAAGTAGGTAGAATGCGATGGGAAATGTATGACAGAAGTAAGGACAATGTAGCGAGAAATAAGCGATAAAAGTAGGTGGAACGCAATAGGTAATATGCAGATGATAAAAAATAATCAGAGCGACCCTGTACAACCGATAAAAATCCCTTACACCTTTCGAATTTTTCGTTACGAGAAACTCTTCCCGACTGGAATTCGCTACGATAGAATTTCAAATACTTACTTTTCCTCGGAATATTTAAGTTTACTCGAATTTGTCGGGGAATTTTCCCATCAGTTTCATTCGTACCCAACGGAGTCGAAACCTGGCGAATTAACGAACTGACACAGACAGCGAACTGGATGCAATAAATTTAATATATCCATACTGTATTCGTAACGTAACTTCCAAATATGGGATTACATGTGTAATTTCCAAAACTGACAACTTCGCTAGTTTCCTTCGAGCCCTTTTAAATTATACACAAATGTACCTATTTCGGGAAACCTGTACGAGACATGTATCATATTCATCGATATACGTAATTCATTAATGCACCAACACTACATTTGTATGATGAAAATGTAACGCTGGCAACACTGCAAATATTCCATGAATCAACGTTGCCAATACTAATTATTTCTTCCTAGAATCTAGTACTTTAATTGATCTGAAAAATCATCATATTCTGGAAAATTGGCTATTCCAGTAAAAGATTTTAAAAGAATCAACATTGCCAATACCAATTTTTTTCTCTCTAAAAATCTAGTAGAATTATCTGAAAAATCGTGAGATTTAGTAGCTAAATCATCTTGAAAATTGAATATTCTACAGAATTTTCAAAGACTCAACGTTGTCAATACTAATTTTTTTCTCTCTAAAAATCTAGTAGAATTATCTGAAAAATCGTGAGAATTAGTAGCAAAATCATCTTGAAAATTAAATATTCTACAGAATTTTCAAAGACTCAACGTTGCCAATACTAATTTTTTTCTCTCTAAAAATCTAGTAGAATTATCTGAAAATCGTGAGAATTAGTAGCAAAATCATCTAGAAAATTGACTACCTATTCTAGAAGATTTTAAAAGAATCAACGTTGCCAATATTTTTTTTCTCTCTAAAAATCTAGTAAAATCATCTAAAAAATCGTGAGATTTAGTAGCAAAATCATCCAGAAAATTGACTATTCTACAGGATTTCCAAAGACTCAACGTTGCCAATACTAATTCTTTATCCCTAAAACCAGCGATAAAAAGTATTTCCATTCCATTCGAGAATATCCAACTCACGCAGGTAAGCCAAAGTAAATAACAAAGAAATCTCTCCTCTTTGTACCTGGCGCTTACTTTTCCTCTCTTCCGCCTTTCCTTAAGTACATATATTTTACGACGCCGAAGTTTTTGATCTGAGTAATGCTCATTCCGTGTCGGGCCGTCCCTCCCGCCTTCGGGACGGCATTTGCATGCGAAAAGCTTTTTATTAATGTCGAACAACAACGCCAAACAACCCCCGTCGAGCGGAGGAAACTCGAGGAAAAGCGACCGCGGTCTTAGGAAAAGCGACAATATACTTCCCATCGTTTTCCCAGCTAAATTAATTCGTTCGAATACGAAGCGATATTTAATTTTTTTTTGATTGATATTACCTGCTCGATTCATCCCCGATTGCACTCCAAACAATTTCCAGCTTCGAGCATTTCTATTGTACTTTCGAATGCAGGAATAAAAATTTTGCATTGTTTAGTAATAAAGAGTCGATAAAGGGAATGTTTATTCGTACACACGGACATACATTAGCCTAATAAAGTCAAATATTCCCCCGTTTCTTTATCGATTCTTTCCCCGGTCACTTTACCAGCGCATTCGTATATATCTACAAATGGAAATATTGTAATAAAATTCCAAGCAAAAAAATGCACATATTTTTATGCGAACCTCTACAAAAACTCTTCGACCTTATGCGCGTTTTGCAATGGAAAAAAGTAATTTAATTAAGTCCCGGGATAGATCGCGACGTTTCGCGCCGAAGGGAGTTTTATTTCCATTTTCGGGCGGCTTTTCGGCGCGCGTGCCGCTCGGTAAAGCCCCGGGAAACCCTTTTCGAACGCTTAATTAAGTAGCCGAATGCGTCCGGCCCGTTCGCGAATCTCCACCTGAGCTGCAAATATTTAATTAAATATCACGAAGGCGCCGCTCGATCGTCGGACGGTCGGGGATTCACTCGCAATGCGCTTTGTTTTAATGAAATATAATATGTCTGGGTAAAGGGGTAAAAAATAAAGGGTAAAAGTAGGGAGAATTTGATGGGAAATGTAGGATATAAGTAGAGTGAATGTGGGAAGAAATAAACGATAAAAGTAGGGAGAATGTGTTGGGATATGTAGGATAGAAGTAGAGAGAATGTGGCGAGAAATAAGCGATAAAAGTAGGTAGAATGGGGCGCTAAATAAATGGTAAAAGTAGGGAGAATGTGTTGGGATATGTAGGATAGAAGTAGAGAGAATGTGGCGAGAAATAAGCGATAAAAGTAGGTAGAATGGGGCGCTAAATAAATGGTAAAAGTAGGGAGAATGTGTTGGGATATGAGTAGGATAGAAGTAGAGAGAATGTGGCGAGAAATAAGCGATAAAAGTAGGTAGAATGGGGCGCTAAATAAATGGTAAAAGTAGGGAGAATGTGTTGGGATATGTAGGACAGAAGTAGGGATAAAATTGAAGTGAATGGGGCACCGGCGTAAACAAAAAAAAGTAGATAGAATTGAAACAATTTTCTATGAAAACACAGGACCATTTTGTAACTGTTTAGGATAAACTGGAAAGCTCCAGAAGCTTTCGGAATCCTTCCGCAGGACTATTTTTTATATTTTTTAAACCTTTTCGAACCTTCTAATGGACATTTAAGAACGTTATTTTAACGTCCACATAGCAGCGAGCCGACCCTGTACAGGGCTCTATTATTCCTGAAAACGACAAATCAAACTGGTTCTTTCTGTACTGTACAAACGTGTCCTGTTAACGCCTCAATTAACAATCAACAAACGAATTTTATCATTTCCTATTGGCGCGCCAGCTAGATTTCGCCGGCGCTAATTCGCCAACAAAACCGCACTCTCGATTTATTTGTACAAACGTAATTAATTTAACATATCGATTATTATTTTTTTCAAATAACGAATATGGAAATGTAGCGATAACGGCGGGTAATCGAATTTGTCGAATTCGATTAAACAAAATTAGGTAAAAATGATTTTTTTTGTGGTGTAATAATTCGAATTATTATTTGTAAATTTCGGAGGTTTTTTTTTTCGAGTTTTGACTTTCAACGCCTACGTGCCGTAAAACGCGCGCGGTTTATGCGGCAATAAAATTTACAATAATCTATATCCGATATTCATTAACTAAAAAAAAATCAATAAATCCGAGTAGGCGCTGGTGTTAATAAAAAAATCTATTTTCGCTTTTGCGCTCCGCCATATTGAAATAACAAACAAAATTTATTTATTAAACGATGGATGTCTACATTAAAATGAACGTGTGTATCTTAAAGTGCATATATCATAGCTCGATTTATTTTAATTCGATGAAGAATATTTTATTTTAATCGGGAGAATTTGTTTTTGAAAAAGAGGGTTTTTTTGGACGATTTTTTGGATGGTTTTTGAATGGGGTTTGAATAGTTTTTAAATGGTTTTTAAGTGGGTTTTTAAATGGGATTTAAATGTTTATTTTTTGTGATTTTCAAATGATTTTTAAATGATTTTTGAAATAAATTTAAAATAATTTTCAAATGATTACAAATGATTACAAATGTTCGTTTTTTATAACGATTTTCATATGATTTTTTACGATTTTTTTCGCAAAATGCAATCGCAAAATTATTTTTGCGATTTTAGAAAATTACCTAATAATCCGTTAATGAAAAAATGTCCATCAATCGACAGACACTCTTGATGATTTAGGCGAATTTTATGTGGCGTTTATCGGCCGAAATCAATCACCGGCCGATTTAACGAACCCGAAAATCCCGTCGCGGATTACGTTTCAAATTTATGTTTACAATTTTCCGGAACGCCGCCGAATAATTAGCTTAGTTTAGGCGTATACATAAAGAAACCCCCGACGAACGCGTTATTTCGCGATTAATTTTAGTTATATTTTCCCCACTATCTCTCATATTCCAGTCGAGTAGGCTTTGTTACACGAACACGCGTTTTGAATTTTGACAGGTTGACGTATGACGTGTAGAATTTTGACAGGTCGCTTTCGCTGCCGCTGTAATGAAATAAATTAATAAGGGAAGGTTCATTTGAAAGGCTTTAGCGGGTGTTTTGTAACGTAATAATACCTGGATGAGTGCGAGAAAGAGAGTGTATTTGGGTCTAGTAATAGAAGGAGAAAAAAAATTAAAAATATATGGAAGTTCATCAGAATCATTCATGAACTTACAATAGTTCAAGACGATCTTAGAACAATTTGTTTGCCATTTGTAACAGTCTAGAATCATTTAGAATCATTTAAGAACTGTCTTGAATCATTTGAAATAGTTCAAGACAATCTTAGAACATTTGTTTGCTATTTAGAACAGTCCAGAATCATTTAGAATCATTTAAGCTGTCTAGAAATCATTTGAAGTAGTTCCAGACGATCTCAGAACCATTTAGAACGCTGTCAGGACTATTTACAATTCGAAATCATTTAGGATATCAGTCCAGATTCAATTAGAACCATTTTTAAACATTTCAGAGAAGTTCAGAACGATCTTAGAACCATTTGAGACTTTTCTTAATCCTTTCGAACGGATTCTGGACTAGAAACGGTCCGGGATAAACTTCAAAAATCCAGAACCGTTTAGAAAAAAAATGATTAATTAAGAGAAATATTTTCCCGATTTCCACATCGCCCGGTATATAGAATCCTATCAGCTCAATCGAAAATAAAGCGTGTACAAGACTTTTGTCGAAAAGGTGAGAATTCGAAGATTCCGCAGAAGTTTCGGTTCGAATTCAACTCATTAACGTTCAACCGAAGGATTTTCGATTACAAAGCTTCGACGTTAACGATGCATTGAGGTCGCGGTTAATTCAAGAAACGCTGAAAGGTAACAGAAACAGGCACGAACCTGCTCGATTCTCGCCCACCGGGATTTTCCGCCTTTCGTTTCGGAAAATTTAACTTACGCTAGAATTAAATTTATTATCGCTATACCTACAGGGTGTTAATTAATCTAGTGCCGATACTTCAGTATGTGAATATTTGGATGATTTTAAGAAGACAAGTTTATATCCTAAACCTC